TTGTGTGTGTGTGTGTGTGTGTGTGTGTGTGTGTGTGTGTGTGTGTGTGTGTGTGTGTGTGAAAAATACTAATATTTGCATTATATGGACAAAGATGGATTGTATTTCTAAAAATCTTGCTTGTGTTCATCTGAAGAAGGAAAAGCCATATATGTATCTGTCATATATACACTGAACAAAATTATAAACGCAACACTTTTGTTTTTGCCCCCATTTTTCATGAGCTGAACTCAAAGATCTAAGACTTTTTCTATGTACACAAAAGGCCTATTTCTCTCAAATATTGTTCACAAATCTGTCTAAATCTGTGTTAGTGAGCACTTCGCGGCTCTCTAGGACCGAACTTGCCTACCCCTGGTCTAGACTTTGATGTGTTTGGCATCAAAGCCCTCTTGACATTTTAACTGTATTTATTTGTAGCCATGTAATGAAAGCACAGTGAGGATGAGGACGAGACACATGCTGCGCCCCCCAGTGGCCGACAGAGTGTGTCCAGACAGCACCCAGACAGAGCCCTGCAGCCTCAACAGCACCTGCTTCAATTATCACTACAATGTCTCCGGTGGGTCTCTCTCATTCTGCTTGACACAACACTAAATATAAAATGAGCATCTAATGACTGACAAAAGTGTTGCGTTTATAATTTTGTTCAGTGTATATGTCAAAGTCATTTTTTTTCCCATTGTTAGATACCTAAAATTTTTACAAATTGAACTTTATTGTAATGTGTTATCAATGATACTTTGTTATATTTATTTTTTTCATATTGTACATTGAACCCCAGATTCCCAGTGTTGGCCAGGCTGTATGTCTATTGATAAAAGTGGCAAAAAGTATAAAGAGATGTTACAAAGACATCCTCCCTATAATGCAATCTGATAAAGTGCCTTTATCAAGGACACAACAGCGATCGATCTAGGATCAACCCTTGCAAGGTTCTACCTGCAGTCTTTTGAGCATCAGTCCAGATCTTTAACAGGATATGCAGCCCATAATAGAAAACCTTCCAGTTGGGTACTGGGAGATACTGTCCACTGTACTACAGTTTTTCTCAATTGCTTTGGCACATTTTTCGAAACAGTCTTAACATTCTCTAAACTGTGAGTGCAAATGTCACAACGGTTTGCTGGAACTTCAGAACTTTATTGCATGTCTGCAAAATGTAGTTACTCATCGAGAATTGAGCCAAAGCAATTGAGAAAAACTGTAATAATGGGAACATGTTAATCTAGTGCATATCTTCACACTCTCTGACTTCACTCTGCCTCACATAGCAGGTTCTTGGGTATATGATAGATATGATATGATGTTCAGAGTTTGCACTTCAAGCAAGATCAAGGCTCAAACCCTTCCTCTCTCCTTCACGCTATTCTCACACGTTAACATCTCCACTGAGAATGTGAATTTCTGAACTGCTGTTAATCCACTGCTTTGGATTGTCCAGTCGGCTGCAGCCACCCCATGCCATATTGTGCTCAGTAGGACATCGGCACATGTGAAGTATCGTCCTGTAAAGCAGATAGATACTAATTCTCCAGATAGAGCCTAATGAAGGAAATGGGCATGGAGATATGAATGAGATGATAAGCGCTTTACTGCACAAAGACCATGAAATCGCTGATCATATCAATACTGATACTCCTCCTCAAAGCCATTTGACTGACTTAAGGCCAGATTAGTATCGGAAAGGCGGTCTAACTTCTGCCCTCAGATCACAATGCATCTTTCTCTATTCTACTTTGCTACTTAGGCATTAGCTTAATCACAATTTGCATATTTCTGTGAAAACTACACTCAGAGATTACACTCAGTTTGGGGTCAGAAAGATTTTTTTGTTGTTGTTGTAGTTTTTGAAAGAAGTCTCTTATGCTTACCAAGGCTGCATTCATTTGATGAAAAATGCAGTAAAAACAGAAAAAAAATCTTACTGACCAGAACATTTTGAACGGTAGTGTACATATGTACAAATAATTTTAAGTATGAACTGAGTCAGAATGGCAATACCGGAAAATCTTAGAATTTCATAGAATTGCATCTTAGAATAGCATCAGACAACATTATTGATTATGGACATTATTAGCCCAGAAAGCATGCATGCGTACAATATCTAATGGAAGTATGCAATCCAGGCTTGTATGAATGTATTGTGATGAGACACACTCTTGATGCTGCATTTAATTGAAAGGCTATTTGAAAGGAATTGAAATGCTCTGGACAAGGACACAGAATATGATATTTAAATGACACTCTAGTCTGACGTTTCCCATGTGTGTGTTCTTTTGTATCCTTTGGTTACGGGTCAGGCTGGAGCACCTGTCAGCTGAGCGAACATGCCATCTGCGGCCAGGGCACGAGGACACGACTGTTAGATTGCATCCGCAGCGATGGCAAAGTTGTGGATTTGAGTGTGTGTGAGGAGGTAACTTTCATTTCCTGCCGCCCCTCTCAGTACAAGTGTTCTCTGAGGGGGAATTAAGCACTGTGGGATTGTATTATGTCCTTCAACTGCATGTACTGCAAATCAGCCATGACTGTCCATTAACTCCCTACAGCATTGCTCCATATCCAGAAAATGATTCTTTCATTGAAGCCTTTTACAGTAATAGCCCCTCATTGGCTCACGGCTGGTTCATCAGACAGAGATTGTGTGTGGTGAGGGGACGTGGGATTAATGGCTGTCCCACTGTTTTAGCTGGGCCTGCCTCAACCGTGGAGACTGGCGATGAACTGTGTGGTGGACTGTTCCTTTAACTGCATCCTGTCTGACTGGGCGCCCTGGACCGAGTGTTCACACACCTGTGGCAGTAAAGGTGAGTCACAGTATGTAATTAATTATACATATAATGAGGGCTGTTGCTCAGTAAATACACTGTACTATTGAGCAGGGGTTTTAAAAGCTTTTGATGTCAGGAGTCCCAAAATATGATGAACCCCTTACGATGGAACCCCCTTTTAAAATATAAAGGCTGCTAGATATTATAATGTGTTTCTTAAAAAAAAAAAAGTTTACTGTGTGAGAAGATTAGACATGTTGGTGACTTTTATATTGCCATTGTACTAAAGCAAAAATCGCTTTTGATTCATTCAAATAATCTGTTTTATGGAAAGATTTACTTTGCATTAAGTCTTCTTTTTAGCAACTAAAGTATTGTGAAGTGTGTAAACTTGATTCAATTTAAATTTACAAAGGTTTACTACCATTTAAAAGTTTGGGGTCAGTTTGATTGATTGATTGATTGATTGATTGATTCATTCATTCATTCATTCATTCATTCAATGATGTTTTAAAAATTGGTACTTTTATTCAACAAGGATTCATTGAATTGATGAAAAAAATCATTTATTATGTTAAAAATATATTTATGTAAAAAAAATCTGTTCTTTTGAACGTTCTATTTATTCTGAACGTTACTTTGAGTTACTTTTTATTCACAGGAATAAGTTACATTTTAATATATATTTAAATAGAAAACAGTTATTTTTAATTGTAGTATTTCAAATATTATTGGTTTTACTGTTTTCTATAAAAATGCAGACGTTGTGAGCATAAGAACCTTTTTTCAAAAACATTTTTTAAAACTTTTGAACGTTAATTTATTTGTATAGCGCTTTTCACAATAAATATCATTTTCCTTCCATGACAGTAACCTTGACTCAAAACATGCAGACTTTAATTCTCAAAACTGCTCATGTACAGTAAATTTGCAGAAGAATCCTAGTAAAGGTAGAAGCCCAAAATAGCAATAATTTCAGTTTTAAGAAGCAATCAGCAGTATTTAGAAGGATCAGGGAGAAACATGCTTGCAAATTACAGTTTGCAATAATATATCAAGTGTAGCGTTAGTTCTGGCAGGTCACGTTAGTCAAGCTCGCATCAGCTGACTCTCAGCTGATCCCCATCAACC